ATGTGCTTTTGAGGGGAGCAGTATACATTCTCAGTATAGCTATGCTACAAACAATAGCACTTGGTGAAGTTCTTTGTGCGGTGGAAAATTAAGACATTTGGAAAATTAGCCAGTTTACAAAAATAAAGAAACTTACGCTCCCTCCATCTCAAAAACTTTGAAGTGAAATTTGGACAATCAGAAACATATTCCTTGAGCCTTTACAACTTATACTTACAATACTTCTGGGTCTGTCCATTTAGTCAGACACAGCTCTTCCATGACTTCTTTGTCATCTAGGATTTCCAATATCGTCTCTTTGAAAACTTTAAAATCAGTTTCTAATTCTGACAAACTAAAAAATAAAAGCATAAGAGACCCACCTCAAAATATACTATATTTTTCAAAGTTAAAGTTAACCAATATTTCATTGAAGATCTGTTTGTACACATCAGCTTGCTCTGTTAGACTTCTTGCTGGGTCAAATTAAAATCCAAAGTACAGTCATTCTTGAAGTCTCTCCACATTTAAGCAATAACGTAGGTCATCTATGCTTGAAAGAATGCTCTCTATCCATAAATCTTTACAGTGGCTTCATCTTATGTAGAAATAAGAATCTGTCATGTGAGCTCAAAAGATATCTTGTATTTAAAGTGTTATGCAGTTGGGACCTGCTACCTGAAAGACCATCTTAGCCTTTATGAACCTGCTGGAATTTGTAAGAAGTCCTCCTCCAGCTACGTCTCTAATGTAGAAGAAGAGGTAAGTACTAACTGCCATTTCAATAATGATGTCTGCATTATATTATTAATGCACCAGCTTCAAATTGTTCCCTTAACCAAGACTTGTAAGAATGACTATTTTCTGATTTACTGCTATTGTTAATTCTTGGCTTTCAAGTGCACTAAAACCTTTTTTCTTTTGTCACTCTGATAGGTGTGTAGTATCAAAATTAAAACAGAAATTTAAGTAGTTTATTTTTATATCTGGCTCAAACAACCAATCTATCTTTCAGTAGTAGTTTACAGGGTCTTATTTCCACAACCATAGGATGGGTAGCTACAGTCAGGTCCAGAAATACTGGGACATCGACACAATTCTAACATCCTTGGCTCTATACACCACCACAACGGA